GTGGGCTGAGACTGTTCAGCCTGGCAGCTGCCCCAGAGCCCTACCAAGTCCATGGGGACTCTCAGGCTCACTCTATCCCCTTCTGGCTGGACACACACAAAGATATCCAACCTAGTGGGTTGGCTGTAGTCAGCACCAGGCACAGGAATTCCTCCCTCTGCCTGCCTGTCTGTCTGCCTGCCTGTCTGTCTGCATCTCTGTCTCGCTTCTGTGCTCCTCTCCTGGGCTGGTCTCAGCATGGCAAACCCTCTCCAACACTTATTTCCCACTCTAGGTGGAGTGGGAGGAGGGGAGGGGCAGTGGGCTGCCTGCCAGCGGCTGGGAGGGGGCAGGTGGGTGAAGGAGAAAGGATTGGGTGACAGCCCACCCTTCGGAGCTGGTAACCCAATCCCCGCACCCCACCCTCCCGACTTCCCTCCTGCTCAAGAGCTCCAGCAGCTGCTGGCAGCTCGAGGCTGGCAGAACCTGTGAGTGTGTGTGTGGGGGGGGTGGCCAGGGGGCTGAGGCGGGTGCTGCCAGGACATGTTACGGAAGCCTCGAAGCCCGGGTTCAACCTGGGTGGCAGGAGGAGGTGGGGCAGGTAGGAGAGTGGGTGGGTAGTGACAGAGGGAGTCGAGAGGCCTAGGGGTCTCACCACTGGTTGGCATCAGCGCAGGGCCTGGAGAGCTGAGGGTGCATGGTGGGGAGGGTTGGGGGTGGGCACAGCCCCCAGAGGTTGAGGGAGTTATAGCCACAAGGGTGCAGACTGCCCCTGTCCCCATCTCTGGGCCATGCCTGCTGGGCAGTGCAGCCCCAGTGGTGACTAAGTTGCTTCTGTCCTGAGGCTGGCAGAGTGCCAGGTTCAGCTCTTCTCGGTAGGTGAGTCACTGCCCTGGCATCTCCCCCGGATGCGGCTGAGTCACCTGGCCATGCCTGCTAGGCGGGTGGGCACCATGCTTGGGGGGGTGGAGGGTAAGGCCTGGAGCCCCCAGTGCCCTCTCTGATCTCTGTCTGCCAGGGCCTGGCCCTGCCCAGAAGCCTGCAGAGCTTGCAAGGATGCTGCTTCTCCCACGTGGTTGGTGGAGAGGGAAGGAAAGAGGTGGCGAGGCAGTGTGCTGCCAGGCAATCAGTGTGTTGGGGTGCGGCCCGCAGAGAGGTCTGTGGGTTAGGGTCCCAGCCGTGCCACGGACAAGCCACACGACCTTGCCAAGAAGACAGTTTACTTTTTTTTTTTTTTTTTTGCGGTACTGGGGATTGAACTCAGGACCCTGCGCTTGCCAGGCAAGTGCTTATTCTACTGAGCTGTCTCCCCAGCCCAGCACATAGTGATTTCAAAGACAAC